AACAGGAAGGTCACTGTTGCCTTCTCCGCAAAGCAAGCAATAGCAGCCAGTCCTTGCTTGAAGCAGAGCCTGACTTCACAGGTGAGCGGTGCCTCCCTGATCTGGAGGAGAGCCGGTGACACAGAAGCAGAGAAGCACCTGGGCAAGCAGGCTTGGTTTACGTCTCCCAGTGAATCACTGCAAGATCACAGAATCTCTGCCCACTCTTCCAAAACTCTACATAGAAACACGGTTTCTTTGGGTCTTCATTTCAGCATGAAGTCTCTTGTGTCGTATGAAACATACTATCTGTATACCAGCCTTTCTCTTATTATCATTTCTCAGTCTATTATTAGGAAGCCCGCAGCCAGGAACTGTGCTACTCACGGGGGAAGATGTTTTACTCCCCAGCATGACCAAGAGAGAGGAAAGTGATGATTAATAGAAGCATCTGTAGGCTGTGGCCATAATGCTCACGGGTACAGTGTTTACCTAGAATGAACAGGTTCCATTCTCAGTACCATAAACACAAAGGAATGAGTGTTGGAAGCATGGCTCCAGCCCCGGGGCAGAACACCCAACTAGACATTTAGGTATTATCAGGAGAACAAAGAGAAATCTTCTACAAGCTTTCAGCGAGGAAACAAGGGTTAGAGGAGAAGAGTGTGTATGCAGGGGGCCCACTCACCAGGAGAGCGGTGGGGCACTATGTCCTAACTCAGATGAAGGAGTGTGTAAGCAGGGGGCCCACTCACCAGGAGAGCGGTGGGGCACTATGTCCTAATTCAGACGAAGGAGTGTGTAAGTAGGGGGACCACTCATCAGGAGAGCGGTGGTGCACTATGTCCTAGTTTAGATAAACGAGTGTGTAAGCAAGAGGACCACTCACCAGGAGGGCAGTGGTGCACTCTGTCCTAGTACAGATGAAGGAGTGTGTAAGCAGGGGGACCACGCACCAGGAGAGCAGTAGTGCACTCTGTCCTAATTTGATTTTTCTGTTGCTGTCATTAAACACTGATCACCAACCTGCGGAGGAAAGAGTTTATTATACCTTGCAAATTAGAGTCCATTATGGAAGGAAGCCAGGGACAGAGCTCAAGGCTGAAACCTGGAGGCAGGAACTGAAGCAGAAACCATGGAGGGATGTTGCCTACTGGCTTCCCCTCATGACTTGCTCAACCTACTTACTTATACTACCCAGAACCACTTGACCAGGGGTGGCATCACCCACAGCGGGCTGGGTCCTCCTACATCAATCATTAATCAAGAAAATGCCCTTACACACTTGCCTTTAGGCCAGCTGAAGAAGGCAACCCCTCAACTAACGTTCCTTCTTTCCAAATGACACCAAAAGTGTCAAGTTGGCCTAAAACCAACCAGCACTTGACAGTGTGTCCCCAGGTGGTGGCTCCCCTGGTTTTTCACTGCTCTGTGTTCATAGTCATTCAGTAGAGTCACCCCAAGAAATTGCTTGGGATACTCTGTATGGAGGAGCTGGAGTTCCACTGGCTTCTCCAGCAATCCTTGCTGGTCTGCTCACTCCTCCATTGTAGCCAAATGCTGTCTTAGAAAAGAAGAAAGAAGGAAAGAAAGAGAGGAGAGAGAAAATGAAGACCTGGGGAAGTGGCCTCCTCTTCTCAGCTTTCTGATGAATTATTTAGCTGGTGCACCTATGCTTACCCAGGTGAAAAGATAGTGAACGACTAGGCCAGGGTCACAGCTGGTCTCAAATATACGACCTCTCCATTGTGTGCGTGGGAGGAGACACGAGGATGTTTATAAAACTATTTTTCATCCAGGCACAGTTTCCTAGCAACCAGGCAAAAGCATCTGCGTCCAGGAAGACTTTGAGCAGCAGCTCAAGCCTTCCAATGATCAAGCCTGCCTGCAGGTACCAGAAAGAGCAGAAGTGCTGCAATCAGCTTCAGTTGGTGAGACATTCTGGGGACTGGTAAGAGCCTGCAGCCAGCTAACGTAGGAGATGCTAAGACAGGACTGAGAGGGGGTCTGCTCGGAATGTGTCAATATTCCACAGGGCTCAGGACTCCTTAAACTATAGGGCTGTGATTTGGGGAAGGGTGGGGGTGGACTTGGTGTCTATAAAGAGCTAGAGCTCGAGAAAGCTGACGTCTTAGCAGGGTCCCTTTTGTGTGTTTCCAGCTAGTGGCCTTGATTCCTTTAGAGCTCTATAGACAGAATAGGGTGGCAGGCAAAATTCAAGTCTAACTGAATTCAAGCCTATGCAAATGGCTCTTGCTCATCCAGGCGAAGCTGACAAAGAAACGGACCTCTCCAGTTAGCCCAACCTCAGCTCACATTCAATGGTTGTTTTACATAAGAAGAAATGAAAAGGAAAAAAAAAGTTACTTTGCATCAGAAGACACAGAGAGTTGGCCTTTCAAGGTCCTGACCCCCTGCCTCATGATCTAGAGGTGGTAGGCACTAGCAGTCTTATTATTTATTATATTGTGTATATGATATACCTTCAGAGATTATACCGTGTTGGGATGGGGGTGTTAAGAGAAGGCTGTGACACCAATCAATAGATACAAATTTGTAATTCATAAGTGTGAAGAATCAAAGGGCCTGCTCAGAGCTGTAAGAAAGAATTGGTTGCTGGGCAGTGGTGGCGCACACCTTCAATCCCAGCACACAGGAGGCAGAGGCAGAAGGATCTCAGTGAGTTGGAGGCTACAAAGTGAGTTCTAGAACATCCCTGACTATTACACAAAGAAACACTATCTCAAAAAACAAAAACGAAAGAAAGAGAAAGAAAGAAAGAAAGAAATAAAGAAAAAAGAAAGAAAGAAAGAAAATTGGTTAAAGTAAGTGCTAAGATTTCATTATGCAGGCTTCAAAGCCAGGGCTCCTGCCTTCTGCCACGGTAATGAGCCCACTTCATGCCAAAAAATTGAGCCCACTTTCTATTAAGGAATGAAATAAGACAAAAATCCTGTGAACTTATGCTTTTACAAATTATTAAATTAAAAGAATTTTAACACATTTCAGCCTTCATGGAATGATAGGATGTCAGGGTGACATCTGACATCTGGCAAGAAGTTAACTAGACCTGTTATTGTTCGTTTTGCTTTTGGTCTTTTGTAACACCAGAGCGCTGAGCATCTTGCCCATGGTCACATCAATTGGGTGCAGAGAGGATGCCACGTCCCAGAGCCCGGCTTCCCTCAGCCAGGGCTTTTCTTCCCCTAGACCATGAGGCCTCCTAACTCGCAGCATTCTCTCCTGCCCTCTTCTCATCAGAGCAATAGCAGTGTCTTTGGAACGCACCCACAACGTTCTACACTTCTACACAGTGCTCCTCCACCTTTCCACACCCACTTGCTCCCTCTCACAGGCTGCAGCAGAAGCAGCAGCAGGAAGTACACGCCCTCTTCTCAATTACCTCTAAAGCAGGGATTTTAAATCACATGTACAATTTAAATAGGCTGTCCACATTTTTGTGCATCTGTGATCAGTTTTCTCCAGAGAAACAAAACCAGGAGAGAGAGAGAGAGAGAAAGAGAGAGAGAGAGAGAACAGGTGCAGCCTGTACTGAAAACAGCTACTGAACTACCACAAAATTGCAGAGAGAGGGAGAGAGTCTGGTTTTAGAGAAACTGGTTCCCATGTTGTACAGGCTCGGTCAGTTTGAGTTTGATCAAGGAGACCAGCAGTCTGGCCACACCAGAGAGAGCTGCAGTTAGAATCTAAGCTGTCTGCTGACAGATTGCCTTCTTGCTAGGAGAGGTTAATCCTGGTTCCTTCAAGGCTTTTAACCAATTAGGTAGGGCCACTCACGTCTGGAGGGAAATAAACTTTAAAGTTCATCAATTTAAATGTTTATCTCGTCCAGAAAGCAATTTTATAAAAAACATCCAGAATAACGTTTTATTGTTGGTTGGTTGGTTGGTTGTTTGGTTGTTTTGCTTTTGTTTGTTTGGTTTTGCTTTTTGTTTTTTCTCAAGACAGGGTTCTCTGTGTAGCCTTGGCTGTCCTGGAACTAGTTCTGTAGACCAGACTGGCCTCAAACGCAGAGATCCGCCTGCCTCTGCCTCCCGAGTGCTGGGATTAAACATATGTGTTACCACCACCCAGCTCAGCATTTAACAAAATAGCTAATAATAGTGATTCGGTCATCAAATTAGCCACCACAATGTGATTAAAATCTTTTAAAATTAATACAAATGATGCTGGTAGGTTTGATTCCTAGTCATACATTGCTGAGTTTCCCCATTCAAGAGTAATGATTTTTTTCACAATTCTTGTGTGTGTGTGTGTGTGTGTGTGTGTGTGTGTGTGTGTGTGTGATATTTCAGAGCCCCTTTGATTCCATTACCTTGTCTTAGATTTCTAGTTCAAAGTCGAGGTGGGCACTGAAGACACATTTGCCACTATTGTGTGGACTGTCAAATGACAGTCCGTGACAGCTCTGGGAAGTCACGGGCAGTTCCATCGTGGGCTGTCAGACACACTGGGACTCATGGTGTCAACCATACACAGGAGACTTCTATAATATCAGACCACAAGTCAGCCGGTATGAGTGGTTCTGCCCAAAGAGCCTGGTCAACTGCTGCATGAACCATCCCTGCTTTACAGTGTAGATTAGTGAGGGTGAGCACACAGGGGGCATGAGGAAAGCTTGAAAGAGGGCAAGCTGGACAGCTCAGCAGGTCAAAATACTTAAACTCAGGCCTAAGGACCTGAGTTCCATTCTTGGGTGACATCATGGGGCAGCCAGCTTCCGGGAGCTGTCCTCGACTTTCACACTAGTGCCAGGGCACATGTGCACCTGCACTCGTATGCACACACAACATTAGGTTACTTAATAATTTTTTTGCAATTAAAACTTGAAAGGAATAAGCTGTCAGGTGGGCACAAGGTCCAGGGCTAGCTTCCAGGTCACTTTCTGAGTTGGAACTTACTGGATGGGAGTTCTGAATTCTGGATGCTCTTGAATCCCTTCCACAGCCTTGGACTCCATGACTGGTATTTGTAGCAACAGCATTCCTAATTCATATTCTCTCTGATTTGCTGCTGTAGTTTCCAGGCTTGCTGAAATTGCTCTTCCTCAAGGCTGTCAGGTGGAGCGCAAGCTGTTCGCTCAGCCCGGCCTTCCACCATGGAGAAGAGGCTTGTGAAGCAGGAGGTGAAGAGGCTGCTGTGAGTACCACGGACAGCCCGCCTGGATACTGGCAGGTGCACAGAAAACTAAGAGGGGATCTCGCTGCTCTGCGGGAGAAAGCCAGCAGATGCTCTGGTCTCTGTCTCTGCCATGCAGGCATATGCGGTGCAGGGCAGGATGCAGAATCTCTTGGGCAAATTCTTCTGCAGCACCATGCATGTGCAGGCTACCCCACAGCCTAGGGGGACAGCATGCACCACCGAAAGGGGCAGCACTTACTGGCAAAAGATACAGATGCCTAGATGTGCCCTGGGGCCCGGCATTTAAACCAGAGCCTCTGCCACTTCTATTGCCACGCTTAACTTGACTTCTAAACTTTCTTGGCTAATAAAGAAAAGATCAAGATTCCCATAAATTTCTCCCATCCCACTCAGTTTTTCTTTAACCTTGTATTTCAAAAAATGTTGGTAAAAAATCACAGATCATACAACAAGAAGAGGTTATATTTTATTTTGTATGTATTGTTGCCACAATCCTAGTATTTTTTTCTCATCGAAGACCATATAATAGATTCCATCAAATGTCCTTTGTCTGCCTATAAAGATGACTGTCTTCTACTAAATTTTAAGAAATGCCAGAATAAACATGTATGGAATTCACTCATGTTTGCACATACATGTTTGGCGCCATTATAACAAAAAAAAAGACAAACAGTAGTTAAACGTGGTGACTCTGGCAGGTGTAGAGGTGCATGCCTTCAATCCCAGCACTATGGGAGGCGAAGGCAGCTCGATCTCTGTGAGTTCAAGGCTGATTTGGTCTACAGAGTTCCAGGACAGCCATGACTATATAGAAACTCTGTCTCAAACAGATGATAGATGATAGATAGATAGATAGATAGATAGATAGATAGATAGATAGATAGATGATAGATGGATGGATGGATAGATGGATAATTTCCTTGCTGACCATACTAACTCCAGGTATGATGTCAAATGCTGGTGCGTTCTGTGCGAAATATTACAGAAATATATTCTGTTATCTTATAGCCTCCTCTTCTTAGAGTATAAACACCCATAGGAGATGCATCTGCTTCTCTCTCCTGCTTGGATTAAAGGCATGGGCTATAATATCCAGCAGGATATCTTTTATTTTACACAAGGGAGCTTAGCCCTCCTCTTGCAAAAAAAAAAAATCTTTTCTATGTGTTGACATTTTGTATCCTTCCTGCTTTCCAACAATGAGTTTAATATTAAGATAAATGTGATTTAAGTTCATTATGATTAGGTGTTTTAAACCTGTGGCCTTTGGTGATCACTCTCCAAGCCAATATTGAATGTTAATCAATGACTTCTGCTGCATTTTTATCGGGGTGGGGGGAGGGACTGGGAAGAAAGCCTCTTTCTGAAAACAGAACACTGTATCATTCCCCCAAAGCTCAATGCTGCTCTCTTGCTTTTAAGGGGAGAGTATATTGGCATCAGACTTCGGGAAAATGAATTTGATCCAAAAGGAAGACTCCAACTCACCTTTCTAGATGAGATGGTAAAGAATGTCCTGCTGGGGCAACTCCCATTGCGTTCTGTATGTAATAAGGGGCCAGAACAGGGATCAAATGCCTGTGTAACTTAACACGTGCACATGCACGGACATGCACAAGCATGTGCGCACTCAGATACAGACACACACACACACACACACACACACACACATGCACACACGCACATGCACGGACGTGCACAAGCATACACGCACTCAGATACACACACACATACACACACACAGACATGCACAGACGTGCACAAGCATGCGCACACTCACACACATACACACACACAGACATGCACATGCACGGACGTGCACAAGCATGTGCATACTCAGATGCACACACATATACACACACACAGACATGCACATGCATGGACGTGCACAAGCATGCACACACTCACACACACACACACACACACACACACACATGCATACGCACATGCACGTGGGCACCCGGTCCTCTTCCTTATGTTTTCCTCACCCTAAGGTTGTCCCTATGATCATCTTAACCCACCAAATAGAAAGCAAAAAGAGAATATGAAAATAAACCTAGGCGGGAAAAGGTTTAGAAACAAATGACTGCGAGATAAAATGTTGACTCACTGTGTTAAAGACCCTGTCAGGACTAACAATAGGGTAATTCTCAGCTATAATCACTATCATTTGCATCAGCACAGTAAGGCAAAGTGATACACGTGACCCTAGAATCCTTCTCATTATTCTTCCTGAGTTCAGGCTCATGTTACGTTATGCTGGCTCGTGACACAGAAATTAGAGAAGAAACTACAGAGAAGCTTAATCCAAAAGAAATCAGTAAACTCAGTTTACCCCCCACCCCACCCCTGATCTATCCTTGTGCTGAGAAGGATGAGTCCCTTTTCCTCAGTTTCCCTCTGTGTAAAGCCAGGGTTTGTAGTTAAGCCTGCCGCTTTGTGTGCACACAAAACATCACACAGGACATTAAGCAGATCAGAGCAGTACTTCTCAGACTTTAACGAGGTTTCATTACAGAGCTATCTTGATTCTGGAGGTCAGGGTAGGGCTGAGTGCTTCTATTTCTGGTGAGCACCACCAGTGTAACTGGTCGACACATCACATCCTGATGAAGTGTCACCCAGTGACCGTGCTCCAAACCCCTTATTTATTATTTAGGTCGACATTTTACTTAAGTCAGGTCCCTGGAGGGCATCATTACATTATTTAGAAATGTTTAGAAACTTAACCAACCCCGACCAAGCTTTGTCGTCCTGGCTATGGTGATGGAAAGGAAATGTTGGTAGTCAGTGGTAACCACGCTTGTTAAATAAGAGCTTGCAGATGACCTGTGGGAAGGTCCCCGCTGTGATGAAAGTCAATACAAGAATTGACCCTCAGTTTTGTACCAGGTGTGAAGCTCTCCACCTATCACTCAGTCAGGTCTATCTGGCCCATTGCTCATGCTGTGTCCCCCTGGAATGAACTTTTTCGTTTGTATAAATTCCCCTTCCCTACAGGCTGTAGCCCTGAGGCTGCCTCCTCAGTGAAAGTCAGCCAGGATGGTTTCTGTCTCCTCAGCTGAGTGCCACAGTGCCTCCCTCCAGGGTCCCACACCTCCTCTGTCCCCTGGGCGTACAGGACTAACACCAAACAGGACCAGAAAATGTTCTCTAAGGCCTTCTTTCTCCACTCTCTCCTTTTGCCTTTTTAAGCTGCAAGGAGAGGGAGGCCCAGCCTCATCAGTGCTTCACCCAGGAATATTCCTGAGCCCTTGGCAAGCCTGGTGACAAGCCACATTCCCCAACTGCCAGTTGAGGATTCTCTCTTTTCTGGACCACACACAGCATGTAACTGCTTAGTGGCAGATGAGTAAACAGCTGAGGATCCTGGAATATCCCTAACTGAGTATCAGGCTGTTTGTAAACAAGGATCTTCCCTATATGGAACATGACAGAGGATGGGGCTTAGTGAGGGCATTGTCCAGGGAAGCGCTTTGCCAAAATCTGAACCCACACTCTCCGCTCTCTATTTCCTGCTTCCAGGCCCACTATGACTTGGCCATCAGTGTTGCTTGTCAATGGGCAGATCCCTCAGAAGATTTAACTTGGCTCCAGTGGGAGAAAGTGTAAGTTGAAATACGTTTGATGTTTTTCTTTTTAATCTATCTGCTTATTTAGTGTGGGTAAGGAGACAGGTATGTACACACACTCCTGTGCCTGGATGTGGGTGGATGGAGAGGGCAGAGGTCAACGTCAGTGTCTTTCTCAGTCTCTCGTCATCTTAGCTTTGGAAATAGCATCTGTCTCCCACTGAATCTGGAGCTCACCACCGAAAAGCCTAGCCAGCCAGCCAGCTCCAGAGAGCTCCTGTTCCCATCTCCCTCTCCCCAGCATTAGGATTGCAGGCTGTGTCACCATTTTACATGAATGATGAGGGAAGGCTTCAAACTCAGGTCCCACACTTGTGCAAGACAAGCTCTTTACCTACTGAGCCGTCTCCCCAGCCCTGGTGGTTTTCCCTTTTACAATGTGATGGAGGAAGGTCCAGCCTTATCCGGTGTCTTCTTATGAGGCTCTCTGGTGTAGAAACACAGGGCAAACCTTTCCTCCAGCCAGAAGCCTGAAGACACAGGGGCATTTTGAGGACATTGTAGATGTGCTCACCTAGTTTGTATTTCTAATCATTGGTTTTCATCAAGTTTTAAAAAAAAATCTTCCATGGGAAGCTTTCTCTGAGAAGCATGGCTTCATTGTACTGTATATGAGAAGCATGACATCACTATATTACATTACCTGTGAGAAGCATGACTTCACTGTATTACCTGTGAGAAGCATGACTTCACTGTATTGTATATGAGCTATTAGTCTTAATGGTTAGTTCTGTAGGCAGAGCCTGAAATTGCTTCCCAAGGACCGTCTCACACAGCTTCTGGAACACGGAAGCAGCTAAGCACTTGAGTCTGTGAGATCAGTTCCTCCCCGAGCTTATCAGGCTTGTCCTTCAAGCGCAGTGACTCAGCAGACACATTCAAGTGCTCAGAACAGGGCACTACGGGGCTGTGGTCAGATAGCTCATTCCAAAGTCCAGAGACCAGTTCTAGTCCACGGTCCGGGCTCAAGGTCACAGTTAAGAACTGACAGTAATAAGCAGAAAATCCAGTTTCAACAACCTTAACCGAGGAGCAAGAAGGCGATGAGAAATCAAGAGGAGAGAAGGTCAGGGAGGCAAGTTTGATTGCCTCTATATCTTCAAAGTTTGTGAACTGGACTGTTAGGCACAGTAATTCAAATCTCAGGGGCAGAGGATTTGTCAATAAGTTTGACTATCGGAGTTCAATAACTGGGCCTCACATGATGGAAAGCGAGCGAGTTCCCTCAAATTGTCTTCTAAGCTTTCTCCCGCTCCCTCCCTCCCTTCCTCCCTCCCTCCCTTCCTCCCTCCCTCCCTTCCTCCCTCCCTCCCTTCCT